GAAATCCTTTGCGGAGACATCAGCAAAATACATGAGATCTTAGAAGACCTAAAATTGTGCCTATTGTAATATCGTTATCTGGGTACTTTACATTTTGGTAGTTTTGCGTTCGTTCATTATTCCTTTTCTCCATCCTTCCACATGACTTTGGGCATTCAGCCTTGAGCTCAAAGGGAACTTGCTGCCGGTGGATTGCCTGAACGCCTGATTTTCTTCTCTTTGGTACACCAGAACTTCCTTGCAATTCCTTGGTCTTTTTTGCTTTTCCTTGATAAAGGTGTCTCTACTTTTTCTTTTCATAGATTTTGAGGTCTGGAAAGAAACTCACGTAAACAAGCTTCTTTCATAAAATACGCCTAAGATTATCATCCTGTATATTTTGTCTTACTGATGATACACTTCAAGCCATGGAGCATCCACTATGTCTTTAGACAGTTTGTTTTGATGCTTAATACTAAAGGCCGTCATATTTGTTCATTTTGGGGTCCTTGCTCTACATTTGCTTGTACATATCATGCCTCAGCTCTGACTTGAAATTCAGGTGGATGGTGGAGTAACTTGCTTAATAAGAAATAAAAATGAATCTTGGAAATGGAATTGGCCATCTTGGAAATGGAATTGGCCGTCTTTTAACCTGTTGTCTCCTGAGACAAATACGGCGGTGCCAGCAGAGACTGTTGTCATAGAAACTCTTACAGTTACCCAGGTGTGGCAAGGAGAGAGTGAAGCCTAAGAGCCCCTTCGCTGCCCACTCTCAGCCCATCTCCGTAAGGCAGTAGTTCAGCTCAGCACTGCGGGGTTCACGGTGGTGGTGCCAGTCGGGAGGCGGAGCCAGCTGGACGGCGAGCTGCAAAGGGACATGGAGCTTGTGCTAAAAACACTGGGGCGCATTGTGCTCTTTTCCCAGACATGTTTCAAAGGGAAGAGGAAGGTCTTGCGAATGCTTGTCTGGTAACAGGAGGAGCCCTGGGAGATCAACAAATACCGAGTTCATAGAATGTGGCCTTTTTGCTGGGGAGGAAAAATTGTTGTTGTTGTTGTTATTGTTACTCTTAGTGAAATGCAAGCTTCCCAGAAAGAAATTATATTTCAGGGGACAGAGAAAACAATGTAACTTTTCTGTTACACTCGTTAGGGCCCTCAGTTCTGTCTTTGTAGATGAGTTTGTCAGGCAGTCTGTCTAGAGGAATGGATTTGTCAGCTTGAATATGAACAGTGAAAGATGAAAGCTGAGGAGCCCATTTCCGTGTGCAGTCTAAATGAGGCTATTGAGATGGGGAGTATTTGGCAGATGTATATATCTGATGGGGCTTCTTGTAAGCCTTTCATTAGACTGTATTTTCACGTCATTGCTGAAGGAAGGCGTCAAAGGATGAATCAAGAAATAGAAGCAACTGCCAAGGTTGAAAGTATCACAGGAAGTTTCTTATCCTTCTGTTGCACTTTAAGACTGCTGGTAGTCCAGTTATTTTGGCTTGTTTCAGTGTGGTATGCTTTTTGGTGTCCATTCAGCTTTTAGGTCACCCTTAGAGAGTTTCGGGGAGGCCAGCTGAGGTTTTGGGGAGCTGAACAGTGATTTAGAGCTCCCTGTCCCCAAAAGGAGTAACTCAGGATCTTGATGGGAATTTTCAAGCTCATAGAAAGCAGATTGAAAGATGCTGGTTCTGTCATTCTCTCGCAGATAGGACGGCGGCATAGACCTTGCAGGTGCCTGCAGCTAGAAGTGCCAGTGCAGCAAACACTGGTGGGGACCCTGGGAGTCCCCACCATGCACACAGAAATCTCCTGGAAGATTTAAGCTTGCACAGACTTAGGATTCCATGAGATAAAGGGTTAACAGCTGACATGGTGAGTGTGGACTCGGTATCAGACAATAGAGAGGACATAGCTGAAATATTCAGCAAGCTTGTTTTTAATTGAAATATAAACAAAGCTGCTTTCATGGGAAGTGCCTTTCAGATGCACTTGTTTCTGGCCTGGGAATAGCTATATAGAGTTTGCATTCTTTCTGTGGATTACATGCCTTGCTCCCTGCAGCCTTTCACTCTTTATTTTCATCTTTTACACCTGTGAAAATTGATTATAAAAAGAAACGCTGCTTCTGTCAGCATGACAGCAGTCCTTCCTTCACGTGGTGTTCAGTGTTGTAAAGGTAACAACAACAATCCAAGGCCCAAAATAAGGGAGAAACAAGTTGTGGTTCATTTCTTTGAACAAGGGCTATTATTAGTTGGGGGAAAGGAGAGGTCTTTGTTATGGATAAATGCTTTAGATTAGCTGTTACGCACATAGCTGAGATTGCATAAGAGTGGGACAAGCTTTTAAATTATTTCAGGAGGAATTCCCGTCCCCTTCCTCCCCCCAGGTTCTGTGTTTCTGGATCCCAGTGACTCCCCTACACAGCCTTATATCAGGGGAACGGGTGCAGAAGCACGTAAATGAATGATCGTATGGGGTTTCTCCTGCGTTCCTAATTCCTGTGCCTGCAAGGAACGCGTTAGCCTCGCCCATAGAGCAGCAGCAGAGTCATCCCAGGCTGCCGTATAACTGGGAGGCATCCGCAGGTCCTTGTGCAGAGATGAGGCTGTAACTCTTGCAATGTTTTGTCTTACAGAGGCTGCACACAGTAGACCTATCTGTTTTTGCCTAGAGAAAGTTGCGTTCCTTGGGTGGCTCTAGTGGTCATCAGACATACAATGTTTGAGCAAACCACCTTCAACTAATCAGCTTTTTCTCAGATAGTAATTAAGAAACGTATTATTACTTTACTATAATGCTAATGTAGTATTACTTTACCATATTTTGAAATCATTACCAAAGGCTTTAACACAATCTTAAAATGCTTGGGTAAAGAAGCACCACTGATTTCAGTAGGAGTGTGGCCTAAGACGTGGGTTTATACGGGCAGCTGTGTTCTGACTGTGTGTGCACCAGTATGAGAATGACTGTAGTCCATTTGATCTGTTAGACTGATACAGGTTTAGGCTTTGCCAGCTCTTCCCACCATGCATGCTTCTGCAGTATTTCCTTAGAGTTCACTTTAAAGGCTGGAATGGGTACGGTTAAAAGAAAGTGATGGGCAGGGTGAGAAGTGAGGTAGCTTTCTAATGCTTTCCTCATGCTGTTAAGTGACTTCTCTATACAGTATGTGTGCTATGTGAGGAATTCCAGTAGTCTTCAGTTGGAGCACTGATTTGCAGGTTTTCTTATCTCAGGCATTTCTTTTAAGTACCTCACACCCTCTCCATTCCAGCCAGGCTCTGCCATGAATTGAAGGGAAAGGAAGATTTATTTAGACTTGTTTCAGTGGAGCTCACAAAAATAGTGAGAATCTTCCTCCTTTTTACAGCACGAAAAAGTTTTCCTTTTGGAAAATATATGTTAAGATCACTGTAACTCTTTCCAGAGCTGGAGCTGTTCCCTAGCTCTCTTGTGTGTGGTTTTTTGTTGTGTTTTTTCCACCCTTTCTCCACTCAAGAGACAGTAATTAGATGCTGTATCATCTGTAATCTCCTTATTTAGGTTCCAGTCTTGCAAGAGTTTAGGTCAATGGAACTATTCATGTGTATGAAGCTATTCAGATGCTTAAGCATTTGCAAGATCATAATGCACAGCCTTGTCTGTGGTAGAAAATTGTACCGTTAAACCTGGGTTTGTCTGGACCATTTTTGTATTGCTTTAGAATGTACTAGTCTAAAACCACCCTAATTAAATCTAATCCACATTGGAGCTTGACTAATTATAACAATGTAACTATAAAGAAAAGGGGTAAACTGTTCTATTATCAAGCTGTTTAATAATCGCATCCACACTATTTCTCATCCAAGTACATCTCACTTTAATCATTTCCCATCGTATCTGTGGCCACTGTAATTAAATTGCACATAGTTTGGACTTGAATCAATCTAGCAACCAATTTTTTTTGGTCTGCGTGGTCTGAATAAGGGCGCACCTGAAATCTGCACAGCTGCGCTGATAGCTAAACCCATATTTTCTCTGCTGTGATCAACTGCCTTTAAACCCCAGTTCTGTCCTTATATGAGCAGGATTCTACAGCTATGGCAAGAGAAACAATTAACGTTTCAGTTTCCTATCACTTTGGTATTTACGTGCATACTGACTGAGATCTTGTTATGTGTGCAGTAATGTAGGAAACTTGATTAGACATATCTGTCTTACACTGTGGACTGAGGAATGCAGAAGAATTTTAAATAGGCTTATCTGTTCGCATCGTTCAGGCTAGAGAACGTGCCCTGGAGAACTGATCAAACAGTTTGGTGCAATTTTGTAGTCTTTACCCCCTCTGCTATTTGTTCTCCTATGGATGTTTTCAGCAGTCAACGTGATGTTGTGGAATAAATTGTAACTACTGAAACATTTAAAAATACTTCTATATACTCCTATTAAGGAGAGCAGGTCATTTTATAAACGTTTCTTTGAGGCAGTACAAAGTCTGTAAAAACATGAGTTTTTTAATATGTCTTTTATTTCATTTCCTTTGCTGCAGAATCGCGAGGTTACACAGAAGCCCTTAACCACTCCATTGTGATGTCTGACAGCACCATGGGCACTAACCCTGCTCTGCTGAGGACCAACATGCAGCCAGATCCCTCCTTTCAGCGGGCTTTTGCGTCGTCATGTACTATTTCAAACAACAGTCCCATCCCAGGGGGAGAAAGGTAGGAGGAACCAGTTCTTCTGCCTGTTGTTTAGTTCTCATAACTGTAGTTTCCAGCTGAGATGTTATGCTTGCATCTTCATTGCCGAGCATTTGGTCACGGACTTGGAGTTTTGTTGTGACACTTGAAGATGATGTTGCCCACCAGCTAGAAGTTACTGCATACGCAGATTTCAGTGATATCTCTGAAAAACATTTTTAGCTTTGAAAAGTTGTTTCGTAAGAAATCCAAGTATGCGTTTGAGCGAGAGGGAGCACTCTGCTTGTTGTAATAAATACGTTTCTCGTCGGTAAAATATCAGGTGATTTGTTCCTGGTGGTGAACAGCTGACTCCCCTTCACCTGCCCAGCAAGCCAGGAAATTTTATTATTTCCTATTTGTATTGCCATAAACATGTAAGGCTTTGAACCAGAACTTGAAAAGTATATATTTACAAAATACCCTCAGTCCCAAGAAGCTTACAATTTGAGTTTAAGAGGCGAGAGAGCAGGAAACATAGCAGACAGACAGGGGATCCCAGGTAGCTATTAGAGATTCAGAAGAGCATGGCAATCTGGTCCTAGTCATTAACTATTCCCTATTATTACTTACCTGTTCAATAAAGGTTTTCCTAGGGGAATAGGTGAGGTTGGTGATTACAGCTGGTCACTGGGTTTCCTCCTGCAAGGACAGATCCCCTGTCCAGCATTTCTTTGTATCTGATTATCCTATTATTATTCATGGATAGTTGGCTGCTTTCTCAAAGTAAGCATTTGGAAGGAATCCTGTTGGTTGATGTGTCAAGCTTTCAGTAAGGACCTAAACAAAGGATGTCGATTCCCTTTCCCATTTCTTTTCCCATCTGACTGGTTTCGTTTTCTGTCAAAGCTTGGACCGTGAAAGATGTTTTTGTTTTGTGATTATGAGTATGAATCACAATCCCCTGAAAAAAATATGTTAGGAGTATTTTGTGGGACGGACCTGTATGTAACGTTTCATTATAAATGGATGGAGTTAAGAGCTCAGCATCAAGCAATGCAGTAATTACAAAGTTTACATTCCTACTTTCAACTTTCTCTAGAAAGGTTTGTTTCTTTCTTTCTAAATACTTCTGTTTTTTTCTGTTGTTTTTCATTTCATCTAGGAGATAGGTACAGCTGCTTTTTTTTTTGTCTCCCCCTAATGATATTTTCTTCATTCGGATTCCCTTCCATTTTTTATGGTCCTTCTACTTTGATATGTTCAAATCTACTGGTATCCATTTCCACACTTCTCTTTTAATTATAAATCTTTTCTTTCTGTTTTTTCTCTCTCAAGTCAGCTCTTTCCCTTTTTATCTCACAGTGAGTCTCACATTACACAAATGACTCTCACAGTCCGTCTTCATAACCCCTTCTCCTCCCTGCATCAGACCCTGCTGGTAATGTTTTCCAGCCTAAGGGCATTTCCCTTTCAGAAGGAAGGAGCTGATTTGGTTAGAAACTTATTAGCACGTCTTGTTTGGAAGGATACTTGTTACCATGCGTTTGGGCAGGTGGAAACTGTTAATCAGTCAAAAAAAATCTGGTATCTACTGTTACGGTGTTTAATTCTGACAGTCAAAGAGAGGCTTGGAAGAGTCAGTGTTTCTGGTAGTGTGCATTGCCTTATGTTTTATTTTTCTCTCATGTACATAAATTAACCACTGGACCTGCCTCCCTTCCTTTTTTAAATAAGAATTATATCAGAAAGGGGCCTGGCCTAAGAGCTGGGTCTTTTGGACTGCGTTCTTACCGTAGTCACTTATCTATTGTGTGACGGTGCACGACTCCCTCCTTAGCCTATTACTCAGTTTATTTTCTTTCAAAACGAACACAATGAGACTCCTCACGTAAGAAATGCTGTGGTGGTTGTCAGTATTATTCCATAAATCTCTGCCTTTGACGGCAGCCTCGGCTTAAGAAATTCTTGCACTCCCACTGCTCCTTTCCGGCCAACCCTGCAGCTCACCATGGATATAGATCTCCAGGACCACTGTCTAGGGGGCAGTGCAGCGAGCAGGATCACTGAACTGATTCATATTGAAATAACCCTCCAAAAAGGGAGGGAGGAAGAGTGCTTTTAACTTTGATCAGATGGTCTGATTTACAGTACAAACTCAGCACCAATGGCATGAGCATGGCTGGGCGGAGGGGCAGATGAGGCAGACAAGGCTAAGCTATGTTGCAGCAGTGGGTGGTCACAGTGGGGCAGGAATTTCTTCAGCCAGCCACATCACCAAATCCAGCATGTTGTCAAATGCCACCCTCAGGTATCGGCTTGAGTAAGGTAATTTACTGCCTTCAATGATAACTGCAGTATGGATTATACGCTGACATTTTAAGGAAATGATTTGGCTGTTGTTTTATTTTTGTGTTTGGTTTTTGGGTTTTTTGACAGCTCTTCTGCAACAGATCGTCCTTGGCTTGAAAACAGCCCTAAATCTTCCCCATCACTCCAACTTTCAATGGGAAACAGCAGGCCAGCAGGAAGTTACCTTGTGCCCTCCGAATTTTCAAACCCTGTGCAAGATGGTTCTCTCTTGTCTCATTTCCAAACCCCAGGACTGCAAGCGGTCGCCCTGAGCAGCCGGGAGAATTCACCAGCAGAGCAGCAGCAAGAACCTGCTGTCAGCAGCAGCGCCCGGGCCTACCTCAACTATGGTGGGGGCAACATGGGCAGCAGCTCCCCTCGAGAGGAGAAGCAAGCTACTTTCATGGCCAACACTAGCCTCTCTCCTAAAGCCATGAGCTCAACGAAGGCAAGTGCAGAGGACAATGGCTTTTTGCCGCACAGCTTTCTTGCAGCGGCCTCCGGACACAACGGTCAGAACAGCGTGGTTCAGCAGCACCATGGAGGGAACCTGCACTCTCAGCCACCTCTTCCAGAGAAAAAGAGGTCCTCTGAAGGAGACCGTTCCTTTGCTTCCGTCTCACCTTCTTCAAGTGGCTTCTCCAGCCCCCACAGTGGAAGCACAATCAGCATCCCGTTCCCAAACGTCCTCCCAGATTTCTCAAAAGTTTTAAGCACTTCCCCATTGCCAGGTAGGTTTTACATCAGAGAAGTGCTCGATATATTAGAGTTTGTGTGAGATTATGAAAAGCATTTTGGGGGATTTTAAAAATGGGGAGGGAAAGAAAAATTAAAAAAACGAAATGAAAATGGCAGAGAGGACTTGAATGTTTGCAGTCAGAGATGCCATTTCATTGGCTTTAAATGTATCCACTCTGAGGACAAAACTGCAAAGATCTTTCTGCGCTTCAGCTGCCAGGCCACAGGCAAGCAGTGTGCAATCCAACTTCTCTTAATAAAAGCTGTCTTCTTCCTGAATCTTTGCTAGACTCATGTCAATAATAGTTAACAATGTAGCTGGAGTCATCCCGTATATATCCATTGAGCCCCACTGAAAAGTTTTGTAGTTAATATAGTTCTATAAAGGCAAGAGTGTTTTTATATTTTATTAGCTTTGGCAAAATGAAACTTTAAGAGGGCTTGCAGAGTCTTAGACAGTATATGGTATTTCATTTGTTGGTTCTAAGATAGTTCAGAGCTTCTCTAGACTGTCCTTTTAACTGTGAGTTTTTAACGTAATTAACATGTGGTTGGAAACGGGAAAGAAAAGCAAAAAATGCCCTGTTTATTTAGAATATTTCTTGACTATTTTTTCCTTTTATTTCACAGAAAACGCAACTGATAAACACGTGACTGTAAAATTTGTCCAAGACACATCCAAGTTTTGGTATAAGCCAGATATTTCAAGAGAACAAGGTATACCAACTGATGTATATTCTGTGGTATTTACAAACAGAAGGGCTTGTTGGTGAATCCTCCTTAAAAATTTCTTTGATGCCTACCTGATGTCTAAAAGAAATACAAAACCTAACCTAGTGTTAGCACTACAAGGGCAAGAGCCAACCTTACTAACTTATTTTGGCCAAAGGCTGAATTTGAGGTTGTAGGGCAGTCGAGTAGTCCTAAAAATAAGTCATATTCATCAGACAAATTGTTAGCCTCGGTGAGCTAAGCACAAAATAATTTAAATCTGCCTGTGGTAGCTGCAGAAAATCTGCTTTACTAAGAAGTTGGTTTGTCTGTTGCCTCCTCACAGCAGTGGAAGTCATTTTAAGGTATGCTGAAAGAAAAAGGAGATTAGGCAAGCAGAACATGCTCTACTCCTGCAATTCTGTGTTACGCTAGGTCTTCAGCGGCTTGCCTGGCAGAGCTGTTTTGGCCTCCAGCTTTTGGAAAGGCGGGTATGCATGAAGCAATACCAAACGAGGGGGGCTGGTCTCAGAAACCTTTTGTGTACAAAATGTACTGCTCTGGCTTGAGCTCAGCCACGTGTATTTTCCTGTGTAGATAAGTTGAGAGGTGTTAAATATCAGAGTATTTCATTAGCTGGAGCTCAGCATAAAAGCATACGCATCTACCAGTCGTTCTGTAGGCTGTATTTGATTGTCAGGTGCAGGTGAGCTACGTTATTTCCGAAGGTCACAAAACAATACTCCCATGGAATAACATCTATAAGATGCACTAAACAGATATAATACATCTGTATGTAGATGTATCATCAAGTGAGACGGAGAAAGCATTTATTACGTATGTGGAAACGTGTACACACGCACTTCCTCTTTGTCCCTGCACTGACAGATAAATAAAGCATGCTGGGTGCTTTGCAAGTACAGTTGGTCTGACAGTCCTTGCGTCTGTATTGTAAGAGTCAGCTATACTGGATTGCGTTTAATGAGGTATGACAAAATTTTAAGGTGGGACTCCTAAAATGTGGTTGTTGAAAGGAAAACATCATAAAGCGTAGTTCTGCATTTCGAAGGGAACTCACCCTGTCGAGCTTGAACTAGAACCAAAATAGCCTTCAGCTATTGGCAAATGATGAATTGCTGTGTCTGTCTAGTGCATAGTTCCTCAAACTGTGAGGATGCCTCTTATAGTGAGTGTACTGGTAAATATGAGCGCAAGGGAATAGAAGGTCTTAGAAAACAGATTATTTATTCATCTTTGGATGGTGGTGTACTGGTCCTTTCACTCCAGTCCTCTTCCCCTTGTGTGCTCCCCCACCCAGAGTGGAGCGCTGAGGGTTTACATGTGCAAAGGAAGTAACCTGACTTGATGCAAGTCCAAAGAGGGGAATAGATCATAAAGGAAGATTAAACCTAGCATGCTGCTGCTTGAAAGAAAAATGTTCTTCTCGACCTTTTAATATGCCTTTTTTTACCTGACCAAGTAAAATCCCTCTTTAAAAGTGCTTTAAAATGCTGTTGCTGAGGAGGAGGAGTACTTTTTTTTTTTTCCCCCTTCACTTAATAGACTGCTCATGTGACAAATAACTCCTGCTCCCCTGCAGATTTACATATGTTATGCACCTTCTGCTGAACTGCAGGGTTTAGTATATTCTTCCTCCTCCTGTGATAGGTTACTGTACAAATAGTAGTTTTCTTCCCTCACCACCTTACAGAAGAATAGAGCAGAGCATACATGCACTTGCTCTACTTACTCAAACAGGATACTAGACAATTGTATCTGTGTTTTCCTCGTTTTCTGTTGTTACTTGTTTTTCATGAAAAAAATCACAGGTGCATATCCTTGTATACGTGTTTATGATGTAACTGTTGCTCAGGCCTTGTCAAGTGTGGCTTCGTGCCCAAAACACATAACTTCCATGTTCTATGTATACAGACAGCTAAGGACTGTAGGGTCGGATTTGGGCTTTTATTGGGGTTTTTTTTAAAGGGTTGCAGATCATTATGAATTCTGGAAACAACTACAAGTACTTTCAGAATGTTTAAAGAGGAAAAAAAAGGGAGATAGTGAACTGTACTAAGGTTATATGATGAGTTAAAATCAACTGACGCTTCATTAGGTGGTCTGTTTGTCCTTTTTCAAAGAGAGGTTGAGATTTTGGCTGCCAGCTGGCAGAGTCGGTAGCAGACTCCTGCAAAGCCGGGGCAGTTTCCCTGTAAATGATTCCTCCTGGCGGGGGTGGGGGGCTCCAGATCAGACCACAAGCAGCGATCACAGTATACGGAGGTGAGGTATTTCAGCGCTTGGACGCTCAGAGGGCAAATGCCGCTTACGTTCCTTCCCTTGCTTTTAAAACGCATGGGAGGGCGCGAGTGCTTTGCGGGGCAGGAAGTCGGTGGTGGATGAGAAGTGCTGTGCTCCCGCTGTTGAGACTGCGGAGGAAAAGCAGACGGTGTTGTCCGTCCCAGCTGGGGATTGTAGCTCTGCTACCTGCCATGCTTCGAACTGGCAGATGAAACGCCAACAGGAACTAGCTTTCCCTCTTTGCTTAAAAACAAACCCGAGGGGGCCAGAGGGATGGGAAAGAGGGACACCTTTCCTTTGTCTGGAGGTACACGTGTGCGTGCCTGTGTGCGTGCCCCAGTGAGGTGCAGTGTTTGCCAGTCTGCCATCGTTTTGTTGAATTAGCTTTGATCTCGTCGCTCTTATCGGGGGGGTGGGGGGGAAAGAAGAGGACCAAAAACATTTAATCTTTATCTGCTACCATGTTGGCCACGTATAAGCCTTAGAAAGACTTTTGAGATCAGGTGGTGGTGGTTGTTTCTTTTAAGGGAGGGGTAATACTCTGCTGAGAACTTGAACTTAAAATTTCATGTGGGAGCTTACATCAGCAGTGTCAGCCTGAAGCTGCCTCTGGATGCCTAGAAGTTTATAAATGAATATCAGTACCCCCAAATTCTCAATCCTAAAACCTTCAGGTTTTATTTTTCCCATCTTCTACTACTGCTGCTATTTACCTAGTTCAGCACTATAACATTAATTGTTAACCATTATTTGCACAGTGTTCTGGAAACGTGAAAAAACATGGGACAAAATTGTAAGGCTTTACCCAAGAGTTCCCACTACTAATTTCCTTGGGGACCATTTGCCACCCTCACGAAGACACTGACGTGAGGCACGGACTAAAGCTGCTGGGTAAAAATCAAGCGATGATCAGTTGGTAGACTGGTGGGCAATACCAATTTGATAAATTTTGATCAACTTGCTGCGTAGCAGCAGTTTACCAGCGGTGGCCCAGTGTTATCTGCTGAAAGCACTGTTTGCAGCAATCCTGGTGGGACCTGCACATTCTTCTCAGTTAAAAATCACTAGTGGCAGATTAAAAATCACTGAGGTGGTATCATGAGGCTTTTCTTACCATGTGTCTCACTCGAGATGTTTCCATTCCGATCCCCCAAATGTATTTGGTTATAGTCTATTCTACAGCAGTGGAGACAGAGAGGGTGTTCTGCTTTTCTTTGCTATCCTGTTAATTACAGACTTGGAACTGTACTTTTCTTTGTGTACGTGGCGCTGGAAATGTGTCTCTCTCTTTTTCCCTGCATCCTTTGCAGCCATTGCCGTTCTGAAGGACAAGGAGCCTGGCTCATTCATTGTTCGAGACAGTCATTCTTTCCGGGGAGCCTACGGGCTAGCAATGAAAGTCGCTACACCGCCTCCTTCTGTGCTGCAGTTAAACAAGAAAGGTACTGTATACCTTCTGCCCACCATTTAACCAGGCACACGTGGTGGGCAGTCTTTATCACTGTGTAGTAATCTGGGGGAATCTTCGCCTCTTCCAGGAAGTGCAATTTGAATCAAGGGCTCTGTTTGGTTTCTTGCAGCAGTATCCCTGAATGCGACCAGATAAGAAGCTTGTGTTGTATTTGATAGTTTCACAGCTGGTTGTAAATATATACACATTGTGGCTCTTTATATATTGTGCCTTATCAACCTAACAGAAAGCCAATGTCATCTCAGTAATGGGTTGTCCCTAGCAGTTAGAAGTCTGTGTTTGATCCAAATACCACCGTGTAAAGTTTTCACTTGGCTGGAAGGCTGAATATTTTTGACCCTAGGGTTTTGTTTTGAGACAATTTTACCTTAGAAATAAATCCCTAAGGGAAGATGGTAATTGTTTAACAAGAAGCATGGGATAGACTTACTCTCCCAACTCCTTTGCCTCCGTATATAACTTGTGTTTGTTAGTTGTGAAAGGGAAAATGAAAAGAGCATATGGAAAGCACTAATCAGTGTATGGAAACTCAGGAGGCAGCACTGGTGTGGGGCTCTTGGCTCCATTTGTACTACTGCAAGGGCACTGGGGTGGTTTTCACTGCTACTGTTTTCCTTTGACAAAGGTTATTATGTTCCATCGGTACATGCTGCCTGGCGAGGTAAGGAACTGAGATGACAGGAAAGCATCTTAGTGCTTTGTTTATAGAAATGTGATTTTTGTCCATTGTTCTTTTTTCCGAAGACGTCATGCTCACTCTGGGGCAAGGTTAGCAGTCTGCCTCAATTACAATAACACTTTCAAATTCTGTACCCTGAACCTGGAATGCTGAGGCAATTTCTAATAAAAAATTGCCATTTAATCCTTGTTATTGTCCGAAAGTGTCAGCAGAACTGGTGTAATGTCTTATTTGAAGTAGTTAATAGAGGTGTACTGATGATAGCATCAATGAGGAGGCAAGTGGAGAGTGGCTGTAGGTGCACTTATTAATCTTTTTTCTCACTGGAACCAGTCAAGTCCAGGAAGACATGGAAATCAAAACCTTACCAGCCTTTAAAAGCCAGTCTGTTGGTTGTGCTGCTGCTACTGGTGACAGTAAGAGAAAATGTTAGGACTGTAACATTCCTCCACCTCTTGCTCTGTGATACTGACTTCTTTAATTCCCGCTATTTTCATCCTGGAGGGCCCAAGTTTGTTTCATCTCATGCACAGTTTCTTGCTTCTCATGCATAGCCTTCTCCTTCCCACATAGGCTTACATTCATTTATTTTTAATATTGTGAGAGCGTAAGGGCAAACAGTAAGAAGTTTGAAAAGGTGAGCTTTGCAATATTTGCTTTACACAGACCTTCCTGCTGTCCAGACTAATATGTTTATCTGTATTGTCCTGAGAGTCAGCCCTTGCTGTCACGTGTCCTCTGGGCTGTGTGGCTGACAAGATCAGAGCCAAAGAGAGTGTTTGCAGGTCTTTAGTTGAGGTTTGAATGTTCAGGCAGCTTTGGCAAGAGCCCTAGTCGGTAGTTAGGGGTGAAATATTGTGAGCCAGCCTGTTGAGAAATAATGTATTTGTCTTAATTATATGCACATGCGTGTGTATTTACAAAAATGCTAAATCTCAAGGGGATTTTTATAGGCCTCATGGACTTGGAGTCACCTCATTACGTTATCTCCTAACTTACAGTTTAAAGATTTGTCCTAGAGCCTTGAGGGATATAAACTTTCTTTAGAGGTCTAGCAAGCTACAGAAACCTGAGATTCTCATGTAATCACTTTCAAGGAGCAAAGGCTTATAATAAGACTGCAAACATTTTAAAACTTAAAAATTCACTGAGAGACTTGGCAGCATTACCTCTGTGCAGCTAGATCGTGTATTCTTTTGATCTGGGAAAGTTCTGAGCAACTTTCTGTCCTGTCACTAGAAATATGAGAATTTTGTCATACTTTTACTCCCTTGTTGTCACACCGGGTACAAGTTCTTCTAATTGGCGCCAGAATTTCTTTGGTTTCCAAATTTTTGCTCCTATCTGGAGCTGGGACCATGCTTGGACATTTTGGACACTTATGCATATCTGGATGTCAGTTAGTTCTGTTTATAAAATCTTTGCCTCCGGTTATCTGAAGTGAGCTATTTGTTTGTTTGCTTTTTTTTTTTTTTTTTTTTTTTTTTACAGAATGGCCTTTTCACTACAGCTTGTAACTTTGCGGCAGACCAACCCTAATGCGTTCTTTGCCTGCTGTGTATAAAACATTTGGTGATAATGCGGAAAGCTGCCTCATAAAGACCTTCTAATTTGTGAGACTTGTCTGTTCATTGATTCTCTTCATGTGCTTTCTTTTTTTGTTTTGCCACAGTTGGAGATTTGTCAAATGAACTTGTAAGGCATTTTCTGATTGAATGCACTCACAAGGGGGTACGCTTGAAAGGATGCCCAAATGAACCATATTTTGGTAAGTACCGTGCATCACAGAGATGCAGAAAATGGAAATAGTTTGTATTTGCTAGAGCTGTTTTATAGACTTAAATGGAGAATATTTTGCTTACATCTTGAAGTAGGAACCCATTCTGAGGTTGCTGTAATAGCAGCCTTCTACATATTTACCTAAAACATCTCTGCAGAGCACTCTAGCATGGATGCACAGGAGCAAGCTTCAAGCTGCAATGCACAGCTGCAGTGGCACAGAGCTCAGCTAGATGACTGCTAGTGGCCTTATTTATTCAGGATCTTTTGCTTATTTTGCCTTGTTGCTGTACTTAGACTGTATTACCAGCAAGCTAAAATGACTCTGGAGTAGAATGTTTTTTCCACAAAGTAAAAAGTGCATTATACTGCATCAAGGTTACGTAATGTAATGCAGCAGAGGCGCATCACCTGTGAAGGGTCTTCTACCATGAAAAGAAGGTGTAGAACGGCAAATTCTGTTTCAAGTAAATGTGGATTGAATTTTGTCAGTGTTTGATATGAGAGATATTTCAGATCAGAGGTTTTAGCCCAGTCTTGCCTGCATCTTGGAGTATCTGTTTGCAGTGCGTATATACTACTGCTCACTTAGTCTGAACATCTCCTGCTCTTTGAATGTGTACAGCCTCAAAGTGCTTCACTTGGTAGGAAGGCAGTATCATGCACTTGTGATGCTGAAGCACTAGTGGTATGAATGTGTCTTTGCACTTCAGCAAGACCATTGCAGAATGGGGTCATCTTTCCATTTCAAAGCAATTTTTGATGAGCTATAAAAATGAGATTGTCTGAGCTGTGACTTTTTTCTCAAGAACTGAGCATGAGTAGAGCATTCAATACTTCCAAGTAAGTATTGAATTGAAGGATAACTTTTTGTGCAAATAGATGAATATTGTCCATTCATCTCCTCAAAACATGGTCTATCATGCTGAGCATGACTAACATTTAATTATTTTAATTGAAACAGAGTCCAGATTAGAAAAGTGGCATTGAATATCAGAGTTCAGGGCGCTAACTGAAAGAAGAATAACTTAACAGAGACAGTTGTGTATGTTAGTATCACATTAGGTGGGGGAGGTTTTCTCTAGGCCATCTTAAAACACAAAACAGAGGTACGTGTAGACTGACAAATAGGCAGTGGAGAGAAGATGACGAAGACACAGAGCTGCTAGCTCTTTCTCTGCCTACATATAGCATCAACCCCCTGTGCTCTTACCTTGTTCACAAGGTACTACTATATTTAATGTAGCACGCATTAAGTGTATCAAATGGAAATTACTAACATGCATGTGCTAGTGTTTTTGTCTTCTTTGCCCTTTCTTCATTTGAAGCAAAGTCATTTCTTTAGTTAGGGATTTAGGCAGTGTGTTAGGGAGGGAAGGGGAGCATATGGTTTTGGTTAGTCAAAGTGCAGGCAACTGGGACGGTTTGGGGGAACATGAATCCGCTAAAGTTAACCAAAAAAGATAGTTGATAAAGTGACTTGTTGGGGGGACAGGGGACGGCAGGGGCAAGAAGGAGGCTTCCTTGTAAAACATCTGAAAGCAAGCATAACTCTCGAGCATTATTTTTGCCCACCAAGTTAATCCTGCATGTCTTGTTGCTCTTCTGACTGCAGGGAGTTTGACGGCTCTGGTGTATCAGCACTCCATTACTCCCTTGGCACTGCCCTGCAAGCTGCTCATCCCGGACAGAGGTATGCCCCAGCCAAAGCTCGACTCCAAAATGCCAGTGTCAGAAGGCAGGTGAACATATCAGAAGTCAAGACTTGAATGAGAATGCACAAGGAAGGGTGCTGCATTTTTAAAGCAGCTCTTCAGTGTTGCTGCAGGCTCTTACCCCAAGCTGCAGTTGTGAGCAGACTAGTACTGTGAGGTTCCAATCATAAACATCTATGAGTCATGGAAATTAGCACAGTAATCCAGCATTTAGGGGAAAAAAAATCATTTCTCAGACATGAAGTTATGCCCATGTATGGTTAGATTTAACCACTCTTCAGGTTTGGGTGGTGAAAGGCCTTAGGGAAAGCAAGATGGATAAAGAACAGCAGGTGCCCTGAGTGAGGCTGACGGGAAACAAGCAGCAGCTTACACAAGTCCAAATATTGTTTAAGTAAATGATCGAAGAGCCTGTGTTGCATCATGGGATGGGACTGTAATTCTGATTTTGATTTTGACGACTTCATAAACCACTCTAGGACAACAGCAAAATGCAGTTATGCAGCTCTTGCCCCATGTTTCAGTTGCCTGTTTATTCTCTCACATGAAGTTAACACCAGATGTATTATTGAAATGTTAAACATTCTTGTGGTTTTCTACTGAACTCTTTAAACTTTTCTTAAAGGCCATATGTCAGTATTCAAACATAGCATTTGAATTATGCAAATGTATTAATGAAACCATTTTAGCACAAAAACATGCTGTAGTAGATGTGACCAGAGATCTCTTTATATGGCAAACCAGTGTGGTGGGTGTGTTTGTTCCCCTTATCCTCCTCACCTAAAATGGAAAGTTCCTTCTGTTCTGGCAGAGGTGCAGGACTGAAACATTTGCCTTTTCCTGAACTAACATATTGTAGCGAAATGAATTGATTTTTTTTGGAATCTTGATATGGTCAGGCATTTTAAAAATATGTTCTCGTGGTTAATGATTCTGGACACAGGTCACAGAGCATTTAAAGCGTATGGATAACTAAGCGTATGAATAGTGTCACACTTAGTATTATTGCCTCTCTCTTGCTCATTTGCACGTATTCAGAGAAAGCGTATGTCATATCAAGTACAGCCCTAAGTGAGATATTTTTACTAGCTTTTATATAACAGAAATAATACACAGATGTACAGTTGTTTCACTCATTTTAGCAGATTTGGAGGCAAACATTCCACTGCTGTCTTTACAGTTCAGACTTTTCAGTTTTTTGCATATGCATGAAGAAAGAAGAAGTCGATTGTCAGTTTCTCAGTCTAAATAGAATTAATTGATTCCATGGCAAAAACTTACTCTCTATGCTTAACTTAGTGTAAATTATACAAATTGAATTAGATAATTAAATTTGTACTTGTTTAAAGACTTCGAGGTTACAAAATGGATGACAGAATATAGTTATCAATATTATTTTAACATAGTATTGTGTGTCCTTTCAGCAGTACATAGTTATATCTTTGATTGTCTGGAGGTAAAGGGTTAAGCATCCCTCCTGTAGCACTGGGGGGGAGGGGGGGGAGGGAAATGATGCAGCACAAAAACCACATGGCATGAGTGGTTACTGCTGAAGATAGAAGATTGTTTAATGTTTCTGGCCAAGCTTGTCCTGTGCATGAGATCACAATTACAAGAGCTAGACTTAAACTTGACCACATGCATTGATTTGTCTATTGAAGTGCAATCAAAATGGATGGTGTTTTCTATTTGCAGATCCCTTGGAGGAGATAGCAGAAACTTCTCCACAGACCGCTGCAAATTCAGCAGCGGAGCTTCTCAAACAGGGTGCAGGTTGGTTAACTTTCCTTGCATTTGGCTGTCACAAAGTTATATATTTTACAGGCTGGGAAAGCATGAAGCTCAGATTGGGCTGAAAAATGATTAAAGGGGGCAGTTCAAATTTAGAGTGCTGTGCAGAAGAGTAAAGAGCACTATGAGGATAAGTACAAAGTTCCTTCTGTTTTCTGCATGTTCTGCAACCCTGTGTTTGCTTTCCAGTTGTGCCTCCTGTGACAATGTGAGGTCTACATAGGCTGTTTCCAGCACACCAATTTGTACACAGTGGCATTACTTTCATAAGCGACAAACTTACAAGGAGGTATTTTCAATCTGTGGTCTGCAGAACTACATGGACTATGTCTAAGAGGTCTGCAAAAGGCCATTAAGGAAAGTGCTGAGTAGGGTTAAATTCTCAGCATAGCGGTCAACATTGCCACAGGAAAATGCTTACCAGCCTCTAACTTAGCAAAAAATAATGAAAACCGTTGCCCTGTGTTTCACTTGATGCTGCATGTTAGGAAATGAAATTTTCACTGTCTTTTCCACTGCATGCTGTTTTATGAGTCCTCGAGCGTATTGCAGCACCCACCTCCCATTCTGGCAAATGAAGTTGTCTTGCCATGAGCTTATTGCTACAGCAGGAAGAGCCTTGGCCAGGTTACTTCCAAATAATGTAGATGTAGCCACTATGTTATTCCTACGTTACAGCCCACCCAGGGGTTCCTGTCCCAGTCGTTCCATGATTCCCGGCCTTCAGGCTACTCTGAGTTTCACCTCAGGATCTGTGTGTCCACTTGATTGCCACTCTCTCTTGAGCTTAACATAGCACTGAAGCTCTAAGCAAAAGCTTTGTGGCCTACGTGGTGCCTTGTTGCCCTGATCCCTTGTAGGGCACTTCTGAGGGGGGTGGTTGCCAATCCAAGCAGCTCTAAAGTGAGGGAGAGTCGTTCCTGGCTTGTGCAGCGATCTGTTTTGACTTAAAAATTCGCAGTACCACTTCAAATGCTGTAATCGAGCAGGAATGTGTGGCTGAGGCAACGGCTAGCCTTGGTGAGGCTGTGCTAGAAGTAAGCACGTGTTGGCATTTCGGTCCGCCAGTGCCGGCGGTGGTTGTTGCAGCCAATAGGGCAAGAGCCAAGGAGGGGGAAATCAAGAGGAAAAGTTCTATAAACAAACTCAGCAGAGCAGGCATGTGTTGTCTTCTGAGAAATGCTGGTTTCTCCTTCTTCAGGCAAGGCTTGTCAAAGAAAAATAATTCTTTGACTTCGTTTGGGGCAGCAGTCAGATCATTCCATATGGGGGCTGTCACATCAAGGATCGTTTGGGGAATTGAGTAACAGTAAAGCTTTTTCGCTTTTGTTTTTAAACAAGGGTTTGGAACCTGAATAGAGAAGTTAGCTAGGAAACGTTTTCAGAGCGTTTTGCCCTGACACATCATTTCCCACCGCTTGTGCGTGTTTCAAACATCTCTCTCCAGTTGCACAGACTTTGCAAATGTGGTGTTCGACACTGCAGCTCAGATCCTGAACGTGTAAACTTTCTTTTCCAAGTATCGGAGCTTGTGTGAGGAACTGCAGTTTAGTCAAAGCGGATACCCTTTTTCCCTGCCACCCAACCTTACGTTACCCCAAGCTTTTACCACTTGACAAGTGAAAAAACGAAGGTGTGCATATCTAGAATAAACATTTTTATAGCTGTCTGAAAAACCTAATGAGCATTTCCAGTCGTTACCTAAATACAGACGCTAACTGACAAATCTTTTGCTTCCCAGAGAGTGACAACTGAAGAGTAGGAACTGCACAGATAAGTGGCTCTTCCCTAGAACAGACCTTGTTTAATTAACCTGCTTGTTTGGCAGCAAAATTTCGCGCTCCAAATAAATCCCAGTTCTCCGTATCTATTTCCACTGTAATGCACTACTGCAGTCAGGGGACTAACCGTTCTAAACACAGCTACGTTCCCAAGCTAAAAGCAGCGTGGGATCCTGAAGATGGCTGCATTGTGTAGCTGTCATTGGCGGTACCGATGTGACTTACAAAACAGCAGTTATGGAAGATGGGGACAGCCATGTTACAGGAAAGATGCTATTTCATAGACTTCTTCCTTTTGTTCTTGCCTTGAGCAGAGTTTCTGTGGGATTACTGCCATTCAGTTCCCCATGTCAGCTGCCTAGTTTAGCATGTACGTATTCTTAAATGAGAAAATTTTCAGCCTTTCCCAAAACCTTCCCTTTCCTGTAATCTCCTTTTGAAGCTGGCATAATTTTTTTGCCTTCCAGCACTTCTAAGGCTCAGTTATTTTTTGTTCAACAGAAGGTAAAATTATAGACTGTATTTAGTGACTGCTTTTGAACAGCCGCATTGGAGGACAATCTAGAAGAAGAGATTAGCTATTTTGTTTAGGAACAAAACCTAAACATGGTCTGTTGACAACAGTGCAATGCCTGGCACGAAGGGAAGGGAATCCCTTCATAAGAGCCTCAGAAGTGGTTAGGAATGTGGCAGTGAAACAAGGCAAGCTTCCTGTGGTGGGAAAAATTCACAGGATAATGAAGAGCTTTAGATCTGTATCAAACAAATACAGTAATGATGTGAGAAGAGGAAAGTTTATACTTCAGAATGTTATTTACAATTTTGGACAGACATGCCAGAAAGCCGTCTAGTGAGGAAGGTCTCACTGAACTTGCCGTTCAGCTTCTTAAATCCCTCTCCGTATGAATTGCACTATAAGTAATTCAAGCAGAGGTTATTGACACTGGAACACCAATGCACAAACGTGTGGGAATTTTTTTTCGCTTAAAAATGAAATCCTTTTCTCGCTGACAGCCTCGAGAGCTTGAAGTTATTGGCTGGAAGCAAGCATAGAATTTGCCTGATAGTCATGCTGGACTCAAACTGCTCGTGCAGTCTACAGCTGTACAGCTGCTTGGTTGTTTTGAAAGTGGCATGGTCTAGCTGTTTTTTTTTTTTTTTACGTAGATGATAATAGCAAGACACTTTCCCCAAATTACAGAATAGCCATAGGAAAGGAGAGGCTATTAGTTTTAATTTAATCTTTGCTTTCATGGTAAGGTTGGTGAGCCAGGCTGAAGTATTAGCAAGTCAAGTATTAATATGCTAATTTGTACATATCAGCTGCCAGAGTTGTAAATTCTGTCCTGGACACCTACACAAATGTTTTTACCAAAACACAAAGTCTGTTGGTAGCTGTATTTAGCCATGGGTGTGTTTAATCATGCTTTCTTGGGTTGTAGAATAAGACTAAGAAGGCTTTTCAGTTTCAGAAGTGTTCTTTATCTGCTTGTAAATTTGACTTTGTATTACAGGCCCAAAGTATTTAAGCATATGAATGTTTCTATTAAATAATCTCCTGAGCAGTGTCCTAGTGCTTGCTGGGGATTTGATGTCTGCCACCAGGTATTAGGTTAACTGCTTCAGAGCCTTAGAAGCCAATGAACCACTCCGTAGAGATACATCAGAAGTTTCTAATATCTCTAGGCCTTGAAATTCAGAGATGATAACCTGAATTTTCCTCTAGATCTGGGCCTAGATACGAACACAAATCAGGATGATTTCTTTCCCAACCTGCTGCCATTATGGATATCACATTGGGAGAGGAATAGGGCTCTTAAAATCAAAGCATGCTCAGCTAAAAGATAGACATAATAGAGAAGTAATTGATTTTCCTCTCTGTGGAAGTTTTGCTTGCTCAAAAATTACTCAGTGTACAAAGCACTATGGAAATAACGAGAAGTGAACTTTGCAGCAGTCCTCGCTTCTTTGTGGGGAGAAAATGTTCTTGTTGCCTTGCCAAAAAAGTGAATAGTTTCCTTTGAATGTAGTTTAAACATCATTTGAAAGTGTGAACATCTGTGAACTGGTGCTGCAAAAATGTGTATTTTCTTATTAGCTGCTGTTGAACTTACAGGCAAAAATACCTCTATTCTTCCCCATCAGGATTGCATTTGCTGTAGTAATAGCTATAAGTGGCCCCTCTCTCTGCTGCTATCTGGTATTTATTTGAATTTCAGGAGCATCTGTGAGTCATAGGTAACATATAGTCACTGGCTTAAATGTAAAGGCATTAAACCAGAGGGGGACAGTAAAAGGCCTTTACCCTCTGAAATTGTCATCTTAAGCTATGAAACAACAGTGGGAGCAGGCGAAGCACAAATAAACAGAAAATGTTGTTGTCAGCCTTCCCTATCACTTTATGTAGGTGGAAAATGCACTTCTTGTTTGGTTTCGCTCAGAAGAGTCCTGTTTGATTGTGTTTGGGTAGTAACCTCAAGGTCTCTCCCGTCTTTCTTACAGCGTGCAATGTCTGGTATCTGAATTCGGTGGAGATGGAGTCCCTCACGGGCTACCAGGCAGTGCAGAAAGCCTTGAGCCTGACACTGATGCAAGATCCTTCACCCATCTCAACCGTGGTCCATTTCAAGGTGTCCGCGCAAGGAATCACACTGACAGATAATCAGAGAAAGTAAGCAAAGGAGGCATGGGAGGAGAATATCTGGCCTTGTCCCAGGCAAACGTCACTTGCTGTTGAGTTGTTTTTCCTGCAGTTATATTTTGCAGTCTCTATCTCAGACGATATCTAATAGGATTGTCCAAAGAGTGGTAGCGTCTGGTTGCCCTTCCAGGTTGCAGACCATCTGCAGTGCTGGAGGATGAATATTTTAAGCTATGGACATTTCTTCCACATGGCAGTTTCTGTCTCTGGAAAGTCACTTTAGCATTTTTTCATTATTGTTATTTCTTAGAAAAAGAGAAAGTAGTTCCAGTATCTTTGCCAACATTTGGTATTTAGCCTATTCACTGAAATAATATATCTTCACTGTAGCCTTTATCAACATCACAGAACACAGTTGGCCTAAGCAGACACTGTGTACCTCCAGTATTTGAGATACTGCTATGGATAGCCCAGTACCTGTAAGCCACTATGATAAAACATTAATTTATACTTCGTAGTGAATACTATTAGGGCTACTGCAAACTCTTTGCAAACTGGGCATTACAAAGGACGGATGACAGGAACTCACTGCAGGTAAAAGCCAGACTTCCGAATTCCAGGGAACCTGCAAGCATTTGTAGCAGGTCAAGGACAAATTTTAAATCACAATTTCCGGGAGTGCTTACATTCAGAAACTTAATCTAATTCAATTTTTCACAAGTTCCAACAAGTTTCATTTCCCACTGGCATTGTAGCTAAGTGGTCAGTTTTTAGAAAGATGCATTTTATGCTTCTACTAGGTCTGTTCCTTAGCTTGAGAGTTAGTTTTCCTAACTAACTGTCCAAAAACTTGATGTTACCATTTTAAATAGTGATTCGTTTGGTTTGAGCAAATCATATAGTTTTCAAAGAGTCACTCGGAGATAGCAAAAAGAATATGTAGTCATTATTAAATTTAGAAATCTGTTGTCTTTATTTTTCTGATCCACTTAGTGTTAAAATTTTAAGCATCTTTAAGTTTACCTGAAACTTTTATTATTTTCTCCCATCCAGGCTCTTTTTTCGGCGACATTATCCTGTCAACACTGTTATTTTCTGTGCTTTGGATCCACAGGACAGAAAGTAAGGAAGACAGACACTATTTCTGATATGTTCTTCATATTGTTGAGCTACCAAAAACTAACATATGTGTTCTTTTTATTTCTTCATTCTTTTTTTTTTTTAATCTGCTTTCGTGTGGACCACAAGATGGATGAAAGATGGCCTTTCAGCAAAGTGAGTTGACACCTGTCCCAGTCATTTTAACTGAATGTTTTAAGAGTTTCATTAACACGATCAGCTTATTAGTCTTCTAAATTATGAGCTTCTTTCTTTGTCAGAGAGGTAGAAGAGAAAGTAGTCATTCAGAGGTAAAAGTCTCTCTGCCTGCTGTAATTACACTTGATTTACTTCATCTGTACCTCTGCAAGTCAGGACCTAATTACATGGTAGTGGGATATCTGGAACCAGAGTTAGTGTGGTTTATTTGGACTGCAGGTCTGTGATTTAGCTAAAGTTTCAGAAATGAAAACAGAACTATTTGCCACTCAGTTTTATGCTCTACTTATCAGGTAGTGCTAGCAGAAGCTTTAAATAGGTTTACTCTTCTCACTTGAACTAATAGCTTAAAAAAAACAAAACAAAACACACATTCGGCACACACAGGAGAAAACCCTTAGTGATACTAGTGTTTAGCATAATTTATAATTACAGTGGATTCCAAGTGTTTTCTGTTGAAGACCAACATCATAGTTCCCCTCTTACCGAAAGAAAAAGCGTAAATGGAGAAAGGTACTCTCCGTTTCCTCAGGCTTGTGCCGATCTCTGAAAAGGAACAGAAGTAGATCTCAACTACTTCGTCCGTTGAGATGTATTGCCTTCAAAATCTCTTTTTGTGAGCACCTTAGCCCTCCGTTCTTCCCCCCGCCCCAACATCTCCAAGACAGGAGATTGAACCTTACTGAATCAGATTAAGTATTTCCTCAGGTCAGTAGCGTGTCTCTGACAGTGAGCAGTACAGGATGCTTGTAGAAAGAACGAACAAACAAGACAGTATTATCCTTGCCTGAATCGTGGCCATCGTCAGCCTTTCAGAGCATTCCTGAGCTGAATGTTGCATTTGGACTGCTGTGTTTGGTAGCCACAGAGGACCTTCTCCTCCACAAGAGGCAAAGCCCGATTTGAACTCCTTTGAGCTTTGTGCTTGTGGTTGCCTTGATATCCTTCCTGGTTTATGAAAGGAGGCAATGTGTGGGTCTCTATTTTCTAATATGCTGTGATTTTTGCCCTTGCAGAGTATTTGGGTTTGTTGCCAGGAAGCAAGGCAGCGCCACAGACAACGTGTGCCACCTTTTTGCAGAGCACGATCCGGAGCAACCTGCCAGTGCCATTGTGAACTTTGTATCAAAGGTCATGATTGGATCCCAGAAGAAGATCTGATGCCTTTCCAGCCTTGACTCAGAGCTCTTCACTGACTTGAAGGAAAGCAGTGTGAGAGGGAGAAAGACTATTCAGCAGCAAAGCCTGAACCTCGCCATTCCCAAGAAGGAAAGCAGAGGACAGTCTGTCTGCATTAAGTTTGAAAGTACAGTCTTTTCTTTGAAGATGCCTCTGACTTATCGAAGCATTGTCTGTTTCTTTTTATATCAAAGGACAAAGCAAAAGAAGTTGGGTGCCACCTAAACCCACGTAGCCCATACCTGAATGAAGCATAAATGAAAAACTTTTCCCCTGAAGGGTTTCTAATCAATTTTCACATGCTGTTTTTCATCATTTATTGGAACAGAAATATTCACCCACTCACTAGGCTATGCTACTCTTTTGTGCAGAAAACGTTTCTTAGAACCACCACAAAGACACTTGCCATAATTGCATCAATGGTAGCTATAAGCCTTGCAAGCATATGCTCTTAAGAGAAAGGTGGTCTGAGGAGGACTATTTGCTCTTCCCTTCATCTTTATGTGATCAGTGGTGGGAATTGAATGGAGAAGGGGAAGATGTATGTGAAGAGAAGGTTTGTGCAAGTTGATTTCTGTTAAGAAAGGAACAGCAGCGTGGAATATTCAGGGAGATTTCTCTGTATTTAGTGTAAAGAAGGCTGGGCAGTTTTAGCTTGAATAATTTTAAATAGGGGAGAGGTGGCAGACCAAAAATGGTTGTGTGGAAATGTATTCCGTAATTTGTTTTTGTATTATTATTTTTTATACAAAGTACTAAGCAGGGAAGATACTGTATTTTAATAATTGCAGGATAAAAATGAGGGAAAAGCAAAGAGGAAAATTTTATAATTTATATATTTTTGCCTGTGCCAGATTATTTATAGTAGATCTCAGATCTTGGTATATCATACGGATATTCCTATACTAGGCCGCTGTTGAGCTTTGCCTTTTTAGCGCTATTTTGCATAAGTAAAAGCGTGTTGTACGTGCCTTGCTCTAGAGAGTAGAGTTTCATATTTTTACTTTTGTCTTACCGTGCTGAGCTACTTCCCATCTACTGTCTCTTTGCAATAACGCTTCGGCTGTAACGTTTGTTCCCCTGTCTAATAACTACGTACGTAAGTGGGTTCTTTTTGGCCCCCTTTTTTATTGGAGTTTTGGGGATTTTTGGCTTTTTTCATCTGTAGGGACTGTTTTCATGTTTTATAGTTGTGTTTTAATAATTTCTTGAGTCAGGAAATCCAAAAGGGAATGGAATTTATTTCGTTACTCTATCCCATTTCTTGAGATCGTTTGTTTCATGATTTATACAGCTGTCACACCTGTACGAATCTCTCTCTCTTTATAAGCACATCTGTATTTTAAATGCATAACTGTTAGCTTTACAGCAATTATATATTACAGAAAATGTATAAGATAGGTTACAGTGGAAACCTTTATGAAGGACAGCCATCTGAGGTCTACTGTTATAAATCCCTTGCACTCCCAAGAGAGCAGTACTAGACCCCATATCAGAACAGAAGGTAATAAAACAACCGCAGTGTGACAGTGCGGAGACGTTTCATTGCCTCGATTTCTCTGATGTGTGGGTGTCAGCATTACAGTAATAACCTGAGCAATAAGATGACATGCTGAATTCTGCATGCTAGACGCATGAGGCATTGGATTAACTAGTGGTTGTTAGATTTGGACTGGAAGACTTCCTTCAATCTCTTCTACTAAATAATAATTAAAAAGGATGGCAAACTCTAATTGGGCTATACAATAAAAAAGTTCCACCCATCTAAACTGTATTTGTCTGTATAGATGATGATCTGGTTTTTATTATCAGCTCCCTTCCTTCATTTCCTAAAGTGTTAGAATCATGGAAACCTTATTCAGTGACCATGGCCAAAAATGTTACCAAATGATTTGTATAGTGATGAATTTTGTGTAAATAACTTTATACTTTTTAATGGGAAAGGGAGGAGGGGAGAGAGAGAGAGAGAGAAGAAAGATTTGAAGTATAATGTCTGCGGACAAGGAAGCGGCACAGTAGTAAAAATGGGCATTGGATGTACATAGAAGGGTTAAGCAATCCAAAGCATCGTAGCTACCGTTGAAGCAACAAAGGCAAGTGCCTCTGATTTGTACCAAATACTTGTATTCTTCCGATACAGAGGTGTATTACTTTAACAGTGTTTATATACCATCCAAAAGAGAATGCAGTTCTTATTATTAGCAAGTCTGATTCTTTTGAAACATCCTAACAGTCCTTCATAGGACTTATATATTTTTTAAATAGTGTTTTGATGCACCAGAAACCCAGTTGCCTGATCTAGTTGGCCGGTTGGAGCCCAGTGAATTTCTTCAGCTGACATCACAACTAGATTCAAGTTGGGTTTATCTGGGATAAAAATCATATGTAATAAATATGACAGGTTAAAAGGATTCAAATGAGGAGGAAGTTCTGATTATATCTTTTTCCACTTGTATAGATGATACTTGAGTGTCTGTTGTTAAACAGCAAGTGTTGCCCTTTGGGCTGAAACTAGTGTCATTTTTTCCTTGTCATTTCCACTTGGGGCCTTATTTTGTATTCCTTGTGTGTTGTCCAGGCCTGCCGAATTCAGGAACACAAGGAATTCAAGGCTAACACTCCTGTTTCCTGGGTGTTTAGCCCTCTTTGATAAGTGGGAAAGACAAAGTTGCCCTGTTTCAAAGGGACCTTTTCTATTATTGCATTCCTTTGGATGGTATATTGCCATGCGCTTTTTGCTCTTTAATGAATTGAAAAATGCACAAAGCAAAATAGTTCAGTAAGTACCGTTGTGTAGTGTGTGTAGAAAGGCATTCACAGAACTTATGTTCATGGCAAATACATGACTAAATAGTTAATACAGCACTTTCTTTTGAAGGTTTTTGGTAGATGTGTATATGCAGTCTCATACGTAATGCCAGCAAGTTGACACATATTTAGCCAAGCGCCTATTAACCTGCTTGTGAAATGTACTGCTATAATCTTACAGTGTTAAACTACAAAAATGCTAAAAGCCATGTCTTTTAATTAAATGGTTCCCATGTATCCCACAGTATCATTAAAATTTTAATGTTTCCTTCTTGGATTTACCTATTAGTGAAAATTTTTGCCTTTTTCTTTAAACTGTAAAGAAGCAACAAAGGATCTCCAGTATGTAAATGAATGTTCTATAAATTCTTTGTATAGTCATTTTCTCTGCTCTTCAGATATCGCCTCTATTCAGATTATAATAAAATTATGAATGTGAAATCTCACCACAGAGCGTTACAGGGCAGTCTGTTCTGCGAGAAGGGCGTCATGCATTCAAAACCAGTTAGTGAGGGTGATCTGTTTGGTGAAGCAAAAATAGGTTGGGTGCAGGGTTCTGGCTTTTGGGGTTTTTTGAAAAGTTTCTTTCAAGGACTTGGCTACGCACGTGTTTTTGTCTACTTGAGCTGTCCACATTTAGTTAAAGCATGCGATTTTCGTAGTTCATTTGCAGTTAGAGTGGCATAAAAGTGCCTTTTGCCTGGCTTGCCTAGTTCAGTATGAGAAGGAAGAATACGCGATGTCACCTTCAGAGAAGATACTTGCACCAATTTCAGCGTGCCTCCACAGTGACGACATTGGAAAAACTTCCAGGAGAGCGCGAGGGGGCTGAGAAATCTAACCCCTGACTGCAGTAGCTCTCGGGATAGAAAATCTGTGCGTCAGCCCCCTGTTAAAGGCTGAATTATATACGTGCTTTGCGGGGATTATTTCTGAGGCTGATAAACTCTGGTATGCCGGGCTAATGCCTTTTCTCTGAGGCGTAGGCTGGCTGAAATTCCTCGTTCCGTGCGGCTGAGTGTCCGTCATCACTGCAGATCATTGTGGGCTCTGTGCATAGGCGTAGCAGGTTGGAGAAATAGTCAAAAAACGTATTCATCTTCATCAGAACCGCTTACAATGCAACATAGATGGCAAGGGCCTACCAGTAACGTGGGTCTGCTGAGCCGGAGTCCAGTCTCCTCCGCTGACAGAAAATAACTCTCTCCTCATCCTTCAACGCGGTTACTTTTGGGGGGGGAGGGAGCACATTGCGCTGCTGTTTCTGACGCCTTTTGGAAGGCTGCTCCAGGATCTCTGTCCTCCGGCAGATGAAAGTCGTCTTTCAGTATTCAGCCGAAATGTATTCACAGCGAGTTCATATTCAGTTGTTCTTACGCCAGCGTTGTCTGTTAGCGTAAATAACTGTTCCTTCTCCTTGGGGTATTTATAGCAAGAGATCAGACCCCCCCTAGTATCCCTCAGTCTTCCTTTGGCAAGGCTACACAAGCCAGCACTCAGCCTTTACGTTTTGGTCTTCGAAAGGGTGCAGAGGCCTGTTCCTTTTTTAGTCTCTGTATCAAACAGTTAAATAATTTATTTGGGAGACCCTGAAGTGAACGGTCAGATTCTTTAAAAGGGGTGCAAGCAGCTCTTCTTGAAAATATTTATGCTAGAAAACACCAGAAAAAAAAAAAAAAACTTGGCCCACCAGATAGGCAGAGTGCAGCCCTCCTCTGCTACCGCTGTTGACACCTCGTGCGAGGGCTACAATAGCAGGAGCGACCCCGGCAGCGTGTGCAGAGGAAGTGATGAGGCTTGACATGAAGCTAAAGGGCAAATAGCTAAAGAGGTTCTCAAGAAATAAATCAGAAACAGGAAGTTTGCAGGAGACTTAGCAGTTCTGCCAGACTGCAAGGGGGCAAAGGGGAGCATTAGGGAATTCAGGGATGTTGCTGAATAATTTGCAGTGCGTGTCACTGCAAGGTATATCAAGTTAGTACCAAGCCTTTCCTTTGAAGGCATCTGGTGTCTTAACTTTTTGCATAAAGCACAAATGTTTTCCCCTATTTTCACACCTTAGAGAGTCTGTCTTTGGTATGTGATCTTGGCAATACTATATGGAAACTGTTCCCAGCTGCAACCAACTGCTTGTGCCCTCCTTGTAGTCCAAGGCGTCTTAAAAAATAGTTTCACCTCAGATTTCTGCATCGCTTTTGAAAAAACAGGCCTTTTCTGTAAATCATAAAGTGCATTTTCATCACTGTAAGAAGCTTCTCACATCTTGGATAAAGAGTTGTTTAAAAAGTTGAATAGTTTAAAGAGCAAAATTAGCTTTTTAGATCCCAAGGGTGTGTTTTTTTTTTTTTTTTTTTCCCCCTCGTATTGTGTACATACTGGCCTCAATTTCTTTTTTTAATCTGTGGCTATTCATATCCTGCCTAATTAAACCAGAGTTACGGGCTTTCTCCTGCTGCCACCTGTGTTATATGCAAGTTGTGATCTGTTCATAATGGCAGGTGTGAAAGAAACTGTAGGAAAACAAATTATTGGATGGAATGCAGTATGGATGGGGAATTGAAAGGTGGGATGGAATTGGTCCAGCAAATCGGTGTGCTTACGTTTACAGCAATGGAATAATCCAGCTATAAAAATAAACAGAAGTGTCTTGATTTGTATGTTGAAACAGCAGTTCCCAGCCTTTGCATTTGCAAGTTGATGTGAAACTGCCACTGGAGTGGATGATAGCTGTTTGTACCCAGGATATACAAGTGACAAGAGCTGGCCCTGAGACCTCAGCTGGAGTTTTCCCAGCACCCCAAACTTGTAAGTTCTCCCTGCACGTGAAAATAGTTAATGTGACTGAGAGCTGTGGCAAACTCTCGGCCATGTTCTCACCTACAACCAGCTTTTACTCCAAGTGACGAAGAAGGACAAGCCTTCTGCCCCTTCTCCCCACCCCCCGCCAAGTAACTGCAGCATGAAATCCTTGTGCCTGTGATCTGGCAGGAGCTCTCAAACGTTTGACTTTGGTCTCCTCTTCAGTCTCTTTTCATAGGCAGTACCAGGCTTTTGAAGTAGCAATTAGAAGGCTGTGAAGGATTTTATGAGGAAATTGAGCTCAAGATGTGTCAGGCTGTTTCCTCAAAAGGGACTTGCCTAAAAAATCCCGGAAGGTGATATTGAGACTGTAGTGACAGGCCAGCAGTATATGGTTTATACAAGCATTAAGACTTGTGGATGCACACTTGTTCGTGTCAAATATATATTTGATCTCGCATTGTCTAGTGAGCTGGAAAACACCTGGGTTCGATGGTTTGGTTTTATTTGTTCTGCGTTGTTCCTTAGAATTTCCCTTATCTCTTGGAAGAAGCGGAACAAACATCATGGTTTAGATCTCTACACTTGGTAGCAGTTTATCCACATTTCGTGATATCTTAGGAACCCCATGCCTCATTTCGTTAGCACAACTTGTTGATGATCTCAGAATTTTGCTTGTCATTACCTGTCTGATAAATTTGTTAAACTTGGGATCTGTTTTTATGTTCAGGCCTGGACCTGAATCCAGTTTGCCCAGTGACATGCAGCCTGCATATATGTTTTTCTGGGTAAGCTGTCACACTGAGAGTACTTTTGTAAGGACCATATTCTCCATAACTTTATACAAAGGCATAAGTATTTTCAGGCTTAAGCCATATGTTGCTCAGATGCAGTAGAAAAGGCTAGGATTTTGAAATGACTGAAATCACCATAAAGGAGAAACGCTGTAAAGAAGCTTCATTTAGCAGAGTTTTTCTTAGGGAAGATGATCAATGATGTCTAAAGCTCCAGACTGCTGCTTGGAAAATCCAATCTCAAATTCATCTCTATGAGCTAAACATGCCAAAAGCTCTTGGCCAGTCCCTTGAGCATTGGGCCTGCAAATGTTAATACCTGCTTAATCTGTGAATTGTTGCATTGATTTCTGAGTTGGTACTAAAGTCTTGAGTATAGCCCTTTGGAAAATCAGGACCTTGGCCTATCTTTACTTGTTTCTCTTATGCGAAATGATAGTATAGTAGAATAGCAGCTGAGGCTGATTTGATATCTCTGGAGCTGAGGTGCTTGAATGCATGTTTATATGTATTGGATAGGTTCTAGAGCTATTTAAAAGTTTTAACCAGTTTTTAACCAGTGGTGGTTTTAAAACACACTAACCGCTCGTACAGAGATAATTCAAGAATGCATATGCATGTGTATGTACGCTGCTTTGGCCCAAGAATAAGATAAATATTTACCTAAAATCACTTTCTGAAAAATGCAGCTTTCCCAATATTTCCAGGCTACGCTCCACAAAAAAAAAGGATTCGCCATTTTGCCCTCTCTGAGGTCTATTAGGATTTTCTGGCAGCTGGAGCTCGCTAGTGAGTGTGCTGCAGTGGACATTGGGCACGAGCCCATGGGCTCCTTGGCCCATTGCCGGAGGACACTAAAACGGTAGTATTTGGTGCAAATAGTGGAGAAAGAGAGAGAACAGATGAGGGGTTTAGCCTTCCTACCGTATTCATGGAAGTGGAAATGAGAAAGGTTGTGGCCCACTCCACTAGCGCTGCATCGAGTCCATGACCCTCTGGGCTATACGTCAGGACACCCTGGCCAAGAGGCCTCCCAGGCAGAGGATGCGGAAAGGGAAGAGTCTGAATGCCACCAAAAGGCTCCAAGCTCCCTGTGGTCTAGAAAGGACATGTGGCGACGGGGCACTGCTTAGCAAGGGATGCTGTGGAGCAGCATCCAGGGCATAGGGAAGAAGGGGGAACAGGACTATGCCTGGGGTTTGCGGAAAGTGGGTTATGGTGAAAAGGAAGAGTATATGAGGTTTTAATTTGTTTTTGATATTGTAAACATCGGTCCTTATTTCTGCTCTTAAGAGAGAAGCGTGTGTGGCTTCAGATTTGCGTTTGCCTTATGTTTAGGTCAATATAACAACAGCAATACAGAAGAAAGCTGAAAATACACTTAAAAATGCAGTAGGCAATCTAGATATAAACAGGACATTGAAGAAAAGATGAAAGACTTGCATGGTTGACAAGAATTGCTGCCCTTGAGAACTGAAAAATAATGAAGCCTCAGGAATTCAGGAGATTTTCCTAAAAGTTGCTCTACGTTGTTTGTTTTGTTGGTTTGAATCTTCACAAGTTCTTATTAGAAATGTATTTGTTTTTTAAAAAATGAAAGCTGATTCTTATGTAATTCGCCAGCTCCACGACCTTTATGGGAACGCAAGCCAAAGTGCTGTGAGACCTTTGATAATGTTGTGAGTGTCGGTAGCATTGTTTATGGGGCTATTTATGGGATATCTACAGCATATACTGGAAGTCGGGCTTGCATTTCCGCTTCATATCCCTGTAAACTCTGCCCTAGCCGTGGGTGTGCCTGGAGAGCATGAGGGAATGGCCCTGACCTGGAAATTATCCCATGGGGCGCTGCT